CTGACTACAGGAAGCCCGAGGCAGAGTTGCTCTGCCCCAGGCTTCCTGGAATCAGCTGCTGATCAGTTTCAGCAACAGCTGACTTGGGGACGCCTGGGTTTCTTAAGTTGAATCTGTATGTAAGTCAGAACTGGCATCCAGATTCAGCCGCGGTTGAAACTGATCAGTTTCAGCAGTGGCTGACGCCAGTTCCGATTTACATACAGATTCAACTTAAGAACAAACCTACAGTCCCTATCTTGTACGTAACCCGGGGACTGCCTGTAGTTTGCTTGTAGGGTTCTATTGTTGAAAGTGATTGTGTTGTCCAGACATCTGATGCTTTTGTTGGAATTTTCTAGAGAAAGTTTAATGGATGATGGTGGTTGAAGTTGTAGTGGGAATCCTGTGGGGGAGTTTGGGTTGTATCATTGATGTATGTTAAGTATATCATTGAGTTTTGTGGCACATTTTTCTAAATGTGGTCCACGAAAAGGTTGATTTATTGGGGAGCCATCCTAGCACCCTGTGGTAGTTCCTACAGTTTAGACTAATTGTTCTTGAATGTAAAGTTGTTATGGGTGAGGACGAAGTGGAGGAGTTCAGTATTTCTGGTGATGCTTGAATGTTGTCCAATGTCTTTTAAATACGGGAGGCAGGCAATGATGCCGTCATTGCGAGGAACATTGATGTGTAGGGAGATGATGACAAAGGAGGCAAACTATGGCATTCTGTGGGAGTAAGAGAGTTGTCCTGAAGGAAATTGGCCCTTCATACATTGAGTGGTTATAGGATGGCTTCTATGAGTCCTGATGTTCCTTTAGTAAGTGCTATAGCGAAATGTGATGTGTCTGCCGGAGTTCTTTATCTTAGAAAGCATGAAGAAAGTGGGTCCATGGGATGATGTGGCCTTGTAATATGCATGACGTGGTGATTTTTAGAGACTTAATTCTGCCAAGCATTAAAGTTTCAACTACAACCTCTCCCCAAGTTACAAACGAGTTACGGACCAAACACTTGGCCATAACTCGACCCGTTCGTAACTGGGATCCCATTGAGTTACACGCGACAGCATGTTCGTAAGTGCAGGTCACGTTCGTAACTCGGGGACTGCCTTTACGACCGCTCCTTGGGAGCTTTGGTCATAAGTGCGAACAGTCATAACTCGACCGTTTGCAACTCGGGGAGCGGCTGTATTCAGTAGTTATTGTTTTCTATTTTTTATATATATATTTTAAACAACTCTTTATTACAGCCCAATTCCAGAAAATATCTGTGGCATAGAAATGATTTTTTTTGTCGTAGTATAACTAGATTTGCTGATATGTTTCTTATAACTATTCATTATTTTGTACATGGGAAATTGCTTATAAATTGGTTAAAAACGATACAGCTTCTTCCAATTGAAATAAGTAGAACAAAATTGCCAAAAAAAAGAATGGAAATAAAATAAGTTGACTTAATTTTGTTTTTCATCTCAAAAGAATTATTCCAGGTTTTCATTAATGATAAGTTATCAACATAATAATTTTTATTGTTTTAGGCATCTAAAAGGGATGGTATTATTGATAGAAGACTGTACAGTTCAGTCCAGGATTCCACACTGGTGACAAGGACATGGGACTCCTCCTGCCATATTCCAGATGGTTCATTACAACTGACATCTTGGTTAATAACTGTGAAAAGGAACATTGGATTGTGTTGTTTCATTTTTGTGGGAAATCACAATTCCAAATCTGTAGGATACATCAGGTAATAAGGAACAAGTATTATCTGTACTCTAGATCTTTATATTTGTAATTAAAATCTTTCTCATGTAAAAATATTATCAGTGGTGTAAATTAGGCTCTGGCATTATAGTGACTCCAAATATTTGATTTGTGGAATGTTTATTTGTTCTTATACTTCATTAGGTACTGTTTTTCCACCATTATAATTCTTAGTGGTCTTTTTCTGGTATCTACAATTGTTAATATTGACTGTCACTGGCTGGGAAGTGGACAACCTGGAAGTTTCACTTAGTTCCTGAATCTTCATTGTGTTGGCTTACTGATCCACCAGACCAGTTGTCTGTACTTTTTCAAATCAACGTTCTCCCTTCGAGTTAGAGAAACTTCAATTTCTTAGATTAGAATTGAAACCCACTGTTGTAGTTGAACAAGCCCACATGTAAGATGTGGAGGAGTGAATGAGTCAGAGGTCTGCTAATGACTTACTAGAATAAACTTGTAGCTAATATTTTTTTCTTTGTATGGTGCACCTGTAGCATCTGGATTAAGGTGATAGCGCTAATGATCTAAGATAAGAAAAATAAATAAATTAGAGAAGAAAATGACTTTTTGGTGGCAGAGTTTATTGTAAATGCTATTTGTGTGTCTGTAAATCTTTTTGAATTAGTATAAAATTTCAGCTCTATGGAGTAAATATAAATACTTTTTCTTTTTCCTCTTCAAGGTTCCTTATTTCCTGTAGAATTTTAAAATAACCTTCTCTGATGAGGATGTCTGATACTCTTACTCTAAAGGATGAAATTGATACAATGAATGGTTCAGAGACAGAATTTAAAGACACAACCACAGTCGAAAACCTTATCAAATCAAGGAGCCATGAGAAAATTCAAGTAGAAGACGATGAAAGTTGTACTGACAACAAAAATGATATGCTGGTAAGAAGTCTTTTTCTTCTATACAGATGAAAAATTAGAATGGAAAACACATCTTTCTCTTGCTCTGCCACTCTTCCTTGTGACTACTTATTATACATTTCCTAATTGAAGCAGGTCCAAGCAAACTTTGCCAGTTTTTGTGAATCTGGAAGATTATATCTCATCTACTACCCACACTCTTACCCTCTCCTATTTCTAGCTCTTCTCCCACCCCCTTAATGGTTAGCTATTTTGAACAGGTTAGAGGTAAACTGCAAGTTTCCTACTGGAGAAACAACACTCTAGGCTTTTATATGTAGTAATATTTCCTTTGTGTTCATTTGAACTTCTTGCAGGAAATTGAGCTTTCCATGCTGTAGAGCAGGGATGGGGGAGGCTTTTTTGGGGTAGGGTGCACTGACCTATAGAAAAATCAGTCAGGGACTGCACACAAGTGAGAAACGGGGGAAAAAGAACCCCATGTCACTAAAATGTGCTTCAACTGATCAAGAGAGAGACCTTCCCCTTGCATACCAGAGCCTAGGGAAGCTCAGGCTAGTAGATTTTGTGTGCTCTAGCCCCATAGTGGGATAGCGGGGGGGACTAGAGTGCCATATAGGCTCCCTGATGCTGGGGGGCCCTGAGCCTTGGGGGGCCAGATCCAGGCAAGGCAGAGGCCTCAGGTTCCCTATCCCTGCTGGAGAGGGACAGTGCAACAACTTCATTTTATTTTCATTTCTTCATTGTTGTTCTAAACATTACTGGGTTGAACATTTACTTTTTGTAGTGAAATTACCAGTTGCTGTTGATTTTGTTTTTCTTTTAATAAACATTTGATTGACTTGTGTATTGATAAGGGCTATGACAAGGTATTTGACATTGTTTTATTTAGGCTCAGAAAACATATGATTTTACCAACTTCATAATTTAACAAAACAAATAGAGTTGTTGGGCTGGTGTTAGGTATACTTATACATAGGTTACCATATGGAAGTGGGCAGGTTCGGCAAAAAGTTATGTGTATCCGTAGTCACTGTACAGTCCAGCATCTGTAGCTGGCATCTCTCTCCTAGAAGCCTGTGTTGGCCAGTCACGAGAGGAGAGGCTAACCAGTAGTTGGTAGCTGCAGAGTGGTAGGGCCTGGTATCTGCAGAGATATTGATAGTAGTTAATTTTGAGTGTGATAAACTGTATTTTGAGATAAAACCACTGTCATGGGCTTAAGGCAGTATAGCAAATGCTTCTTCAATCTATCTTAACGCAATATAATTGGTACTGAAGGGCACCTTGGTACTGATATTTGAGCAGAGGTCTCTCAGAGGGCTAGTTCCCTGAGTTGAGTTTTGCCAATTTTCTCATGAAAAATATTGTGAAAGAAGCTCTGGTATCTCTTTCAACTGTGTAAATGACTCCCACTCAGGCCTTGTACAAGTCTATGGTGGTAATGTAATGACTCACTTAAATCAGAGCTTAATATCTGTTAACTTCATCAAAGCTGAATCCAGGGTTGTGACATGAGGGTAAAAAAACAAACTGGGCTCTCCCCTTCATCTCCAGTATAGAACATGTGGAATACTGTTAAGTTGGCCTAAGGCTAGCCAAACAAATTGCTAGCTGCTATCGTTGCTATGCGTGTTTGCCTAATTAGATATCTAGTAGGGATCTGAGAGATATAAATATATCTTGTAAAAATAAAATTAAACACATAAGTAATAGAGTGAATGACAGATATTCTGTTCTTACTGCAGTATATTTTTTTCTCCTTAGAAGTAATGTCTGAAATTCAACTGATAGGTAACATTTCTCAAAACAAGCTGCTCTGCATGTTCAGACAAATGAAAAGCCATACTTCCCTTGTTGTGCCAGTGACCTTCTCCTTATATTTCTGTAGTCCCTAAAAGCCTTGCCACAGGCTTAAGCAAGGTAATATACAGATGCATAACAAAGAATTTCAGCTCTGTACAACTTTACAGCATTGCTACTTAATGTTTAATATTAATATTAAAGGTAGTGCCCACAGGCGTCAATCACAATCGAGGTTTTGTTGTGCGAGGTGCTGTTCAGTTATAGTCAAAGAGATGTCACTATTCTGAACAACTTACGTTCTAAAATAAGAGGTGAGAGGCAGCATCTATACTTACTATAATTTCAAGTGCAGATAAAGATTAACTAGAGAAACTACTAAGTGAGAGAATCCACTAAGAGACACTTTAAATTTTGCAAAGTAGTTTTTAGTCAAATGTGGATTACCGATAGGTTCACGTTTTCAGAGCTCTTTTCTTGATAATATCTCTAAAAGAATTTTTCTCTTAAATTAGGTTCATTGCTAACATTCCAGCCTCCATTTGACAAAATTAAATCCCTTTGCTAAGAAAAGGTTATAGAGAGATTATACACACACACACACACACACCATACAAAGTTTGAAATGGGATTTCAGTTACAATATGGATTCACTTCACTTACAATGTATTAACCATTTAAAATGGGGTTTTATTTACAATATATAAAAAAGTTACAAAAGAAGTTGCAATAACAGATTCTTCAAAGGCCATTTTTAACAGATTACTAACAAATTAATCCAAATCCCATTCATAAAAATTGGACTACAATTCATGAGGACACATTGTGTTACTTTGATTGATACAATTCATTTAAAGGACAGTTTTATTCTTCAACCCTACACATGCTGGCAAGATACGGCCTGCAGGCTGGATCCATCTCGCAAAGACTTTTAATCCAGCTAGTGGCCTCCCCTGTTGAGACCTTCCAGCAGGGAGCAGCTCCCTGCTACTCAAAGTGTCTGGCTTGTTACATGTGGCTCTCTGTGCTGTGTGGATGCGGGGAGGCTTCATGTGTTGCTCCTGCCCCCAGCACAATTGTATAGCGAGCCACATGGAACAGCCAGCTGCTTTGAGCAGCATGGAGCTGCTGGCAGGCAGGAAGACTGCCTGAAGATGTTGAGGGGGAAATCTCGCTCCCCTGGGGTACAGAGCCCCCAGAAGGGTTCGAGGCTGGAGATCAAATCAGTGAGGCAGGAGAGAAACCTAGAAGAGAAAACTTTATGATGCATGCATGCAGGCTGTCACTTCCAAGAGTGAAGCAGCCCTGACAGACAGATTCAGGGAATCTTTATACAGTATGCTCAGACAGTTCAGTTGTGGATTGTTTTTCTTTAACATATCAAAGTCTCAGCAGAAGCACTCTGAGACTTCTGTTCACCCCAGGAGTGCTAGAAGTAAGTTTTACAGTACAAAGGTACATGAGAACTTGAGTGGAGGAGTCTACAAGGCAAACTGTGACAAAGATAAGGGTTTACATGACAAATTGTGACAGACTAGGAGTATCCATGAACTTGAGATAGGCATTGTAAGGGTCTTGATTAGAGTTAATTTGATTTCTCTCTGTTACAGGGAGAGAGGCCTGGAAAACTTTTAACCCTTACAGCAGTTTTCTTTTAGAAAGTTATGATTTCTGCACAGTCCCCCCTTTAGACACAATTGGAGTTATTTGATTTTCCCCACAATGTCCCACTGGGCTTCTGGCTAGGTGGCATTTATGTAAGCACCTCCTGGCCAGACCCTGCCTCTGGCACCCCCACCCCTTCCAACATCCCATCTCCTAGATCCGGTACCCCCTTCTATGCCCCTCCCCCAGGCCAGAATCTTCTCTTGCACCTATACCGCCTCCCAGACCCTATACCAAGTCACAACCCCCTTCTTCACCCAAACTCCCTCTCAGACCCCACACCTTCTCTTGCACCCTAGTCCCCTATTCCAAGCTCCTTTCTGCCCCTAACCTCTTTCCCAGATTGCACACTCCCTCCATAGACAAGTACAGCCCTTAATTGCTTACCAAATCTTGGAGTGGCCTCTCATAAAAAATTATTGCCCACCCCTGGCCTAGAATGCACTCCTTATAGTGCAGCAGCAAGTGATTTTAGTGCATTCACATCTATTCTTAAAATCCTCTTCTCTGCCCATCCTACAAAATTAATCTGCCAAAAAATCACATTACACTTGTATTTATTTTTAAAAATAATTTATTCCGTGGCTTTCTTATAAAGGTATTGTTTGGTTCATCTGTTTCATTGAGGGGCAGAAGTCCTGTTCTCTGGAACAGAACAGAACAAATTGACTGCTCACGATGTATAACCATTTACATATGATAATAAGTGGCCTAGTGATGCTAAATTCTCGGGAATAAACTTTTGGAGAATATTCTTGAGAATATTCTACAATACAAGGATTTTTGAGAATTTTCTCTCAAATACTTGTTAAATAGTTTTTAAAGAATTTTACTATTTATGATAATGTCTTTCTTTAATAAAACTTCAAGAATCATGAAAGTTTCCAATTGTTAAAATGAAAATTTGAGAAAGTTAAAGAAAAAAGACAGAAATTTAAATTACTAGAATTTTTATTACAAATCTCTTGTTGCAGGATACAAATATTTTTAACTTTCTGGATTGAGTATAAGTCTAATCAGAATCTGCACTTTCGAATCTGACCCATATATTTCTATCTCTTCTTCTTCCTCATACATATCTTCTTCTTTGACTACTACTTCTTTCTCTTCAGCATCATCAATTTCTTCTTCCTCATTTCTCTGGTTCTGTTTCCTTTTTTCTCTTGGGGATTTCAATGAAGCATCATTTGGGTCATTAAGAAGCTTTATATTATGGGCTATGAGTGTCAGCTTGCCTGTCCTTTCTTGTGTTAACTTGTTTCTTTTTGCATTATGAATGATACTGTAAGTACTGAAACTTCTTTCAGTTGCTGCCGTTGTTGGTGTACTGAAACTTTTTTCAGTTGCAGCCGTTGTTGATGGCATACTCAATATGTTGATCGCTGCTTTCCCTAATTTTGATCCATAGCAAATACCTTTTCACCATGTTATATCTACTGAGTCAGCTGATTTTGTTACATATGATTTTCCAAAAAAAAAACTTCTTTAGCACGATGCTCTGCAAGCTCTGCAATGACTTTTGCTGAATGATCAATGCCATACATTCTTGTGAC